CTGTTGCCCCCCCCCAAGCAGCAAGAAGAGAGAGCATCCCTTGTCCCAGACTGAGTGTCCCTATCTATACCTTGTGGCTAGCAGCCACTGATGGACCTCTGCTCCATATGCTTATCTAATTCCCTCTTATAAGAACACAAGACAAGCCAATGTTGGATCAGGCCAGTGGCCCATCCAGTCCAACACTCTGTCACACAGTGGCCAGAAATACCCGGTCCCCTCAGGAGGTCCAGCAGTGGGGCCAAAAACACTAGGAGCCCTCCCACTGTTACCCCCCCCCCCAAGCACCAAGAATACAGAGCATCCCTTGCCCCAGACCGAGAGTTCCTATCTATACCTTGTGGCTAAGAGCCACTGATGGACCTCTGCTCCATATGCTTATCCAACTCCCTCTTATAAGAACATAAGACAAGCCAATGTTGGATCAGGCCAATGGCCCATCTAGTCCAACACTCTGTGTTACACAGTGGCCAGAAATATAAGGTGCCCTCAGGAGGTCCAGCAGTGGGGCCAGGACACTAGAAGCCCTCCCACTGTTGACCCCCCCCCAAGCACCAAGATGACAGAGCATCCCTTGCCCCAGAGCCCCTATCTATACCTTGTGGCTAATAGCCACTGATGGACCTCTGCTCCAGATGCTTATCTAATTCCCTTTTGAAGCCGTCCGTGCTTGAAGCCGCCACCACTTCCTGTGGCAGTGAATTCCATGTGTTCATCACTCTTTGTGTGAAGAAGTACTTCCTTTTGTTACTGGTTTGTTAAATTAGCATTCAAATTACTGAGGACACATTTTTTTTAACAGATCAAACGAATGACCAGCTTAGTTCCTGGTTATCATCTGTTTCGTTTCATCTGGGGGCGGAAAACAACTTAGGTAATAAATATGTTAGAACTCGAGACTGATACGCCCTAATTTGTGAGAATCCCGTCTTTACACCTCATCCATCTCCTTTCAAGCATGGAGGTGAAGTTTACAGCATCTTGGCTGTGTAGAGTGTTTTCCTTGTTCCCAAAACAAAGAGTTCATCTCAGTGTTTGGAACAAGCTCGAGTAATGATTTTTTGACTGGTAGCCAGCAATCAAGGTAAAAGATGCTTGGTTTTAGCTGTGCATCTCATCTTGAGGCCTGGCTAAGTTTCGCCGTGCCTGTGTGCGTTCGACACCCAGCGGACAGGAGTTCAGCCTGCTATTTCTGTAAGTTTGAATACCGCTTATTAGGAGGAGGAGATAGGATTTATACCCTGCCCTTCACTACCCGAAGGTGTCTCAGAGCGGCTTAAAAACTCTTTTCCCTTCCCCTCCCCACAACAGACACCCTGTGAGGTGGGTGGGGCTGAGAGAGCTCTCACAGAAACTGCTCTTTTTCAAGAACAGCTCTTATCAGAATTGTGGCTTGCCCAAGGTCATCCAGCAGGTGCAAGTGGAGGAGTGGGGAATCAAACCCGGTTCTCCCAGATTAGAGTCCATGCACTTAACCACTACACCAAACTGGCTCTTATTAAAGTCTCCTTGTATCTTGCAGGCCGTTTCACAATACAAGAACTCGTGGGCACTCTATGAAATGGCTGAGCAGTCAGGTTAGAACAGATAAAAGGAAGTCCTTCTTCACCCAAAGAGTGATTAACACATGGAATTCACTGCCACAGGAGGAGGTGGCGGCTACAAGTATTGACGGCTTCAAAAGGGAATTGGATAAACATCTTGAGCAAACATCCATCAGTGGCTATTAGCCACAAGGTATAGGTAGGAACTCTCAGTCTGGGGCAAGGTGGATGAAGAAGCAGTCGCCTCAAGTTGTGTGAGGGGACAGCTGTCAGCCTGCTCCTGAGAGCCTATTTTTCTCTTGATGGCTACAAGCATGGACGGCTTCAAGAGGGAATTGGATAAACACATGGAGCAGAGGTCCATCAGTGGCCATTAGCCCCATTGCTGGACCTCCTGAGGGCACCTGGTATTTTTGGCCACTGTGTGACAGAGTGTTGGACTGGAGGGGCCATTGGCCTGATCTCTTATGTACATGGAATTGGCTTCTCTTATGTACATGGAATTCACTTCCACAGGAGGTGGCGGCGGCTACAAGCATGGACAGCTTCAAGAGGGAATTGGATAAACACATGGAGCAGAGGTCCATCAGTGGCTATTAGCCACAAGGTATAGAGAGGAACTCTCAGTCTGGAGCAAGTGATGCTCTGTATACTTGGTGCTTGGGGTGGGGGCAACAGTGGGAGGGCTTCTGGTGTCCTGGCCCCACTGCTGGACCTCCTGAGGGCCCCTGGTATTTCTGGCCACTGTGTGACCCAGAGTGTTGGACTGGATGGGCCCTTGGCCTGATCCAACATTGGCTTCTCTTATGTTTCTTGGGATTTCCACAAACCGGGAGCTCCTGGCCAGACAGCCCCAAGGAGCACCATGAATGGGAACTGGCCAGACGCGAGGGATCCTCTACAGTTCGGCACGGCCGCAGGGACTGTCCGAAAAGGAAGGCGCGTGCACCTTGCCAAGCCAGTTGTGCTTGATCCTGGTCCCAAAGGGCATAAGGGAGAGCTCCTTTGGACAGCGCCGCATGCTGGGCGGGGCCTGTACGTACCTCATGGCTCGCAGTGCCAGGCGGTAGGCCAGCTCGGGGTCGTAGGGCAGCAGGGCGGTGAAGAGGTAGCGGGCAAACGTGTGCATGGGCACGCTCTCGCGGAAGACGACCTCCCCGAAGCCGCTGAAGGGCCCCCCTGGGAGGAACAGGACGGCAGTCGATTAAAGACAGGCACAGCGCATTCGAGACCAACTCAAAGCCCTTTACCTGAGAGATCGACACTGAGGGAGGGGAAGAGGGACAGGCTGGGACGAAGGGGAAGCAAAAGATGAGCCCATCATCAGCATCAGGCCCTTACCCTTCACATGGCTGACCTGGAGGCCCCAGGCTAGCCTGATCTCATCACATCTTGGAAGCAAAGTGGGATTAGTACTTGGTTAGTACTTGGCTGAGAGGCGACCGAGGAAGTCTGGGGTTGCTACGCAGAGGCAGGCAATCGCAAACCCACCTCTGCCCGTCTCTTGCCTTGAACTGGATGGCCGTGGATAGCCTGATCTCATCAAATCTCAGAAGCTAAGCAGGGTCACTCCGGGTTAGTCCTTGGATGGGAGCCCACAAAGGAAGCCCAGGGTTGCTATGCAGAGGCAGGCAATCGCAAACCCACCTCTGCCCGTCTTTTGCCTTGACCTGGATGGCCGTGGATAGCCTGCTCTTGTCAGATCTCAGAAGCTAAGCAGGGGCACTCCGGGTTAGTCCTTGGATGGGAGCCCACAAAGGAAGCCCAGGGTTGCTTGCCTGCCTTCTCCACCAACAACAAGTTTGAATGCCAGGGCTGGACACGGCCAGCAGTCCACTCTTACCCTCTCCATAGCCCCCCAAGGCAAGATCATGTGTGCCACTCGCAGGATCCAAGGCACCCTTAACCTCCAGTCCTCCCTCTTATAAGCTCCTGGATATATACAAACGCCTGAATATATTGCTGCTCCTTGGGCTCCCCCTGTCAACGTGCCATAACCGGGTCTGATCTCGCATCCAGGTCTTGAAGCCTGGAGACTGTGCTCCCGGCTTCAAGACCAGCAGCTGCTTGAGCTGAACTGCAATTGGACAGAGGCTCCGGTGCTATCACACGCAGGGGGGGTTATGCCTCCACATGAACACATGGAGCTGCCTCCTACAGCATCAGACCCTCGGTCCATCCAAGTGAGTAGTCTCGAAACAAGACAGGCAGCGACTCTCCGGGGTCTCGGGCAGAGTTGTTTCACGTCACCTCCTGCCAAACCCCCTAACGGAGATGCCAGGGATTGAGCCTGGGACCTTCTGCATGCCAAGCAGAGGCTCTGCCACTGAGCCACGGTCTCAGGTCAAGGTCTTTCTCATCCCCTCCTGCCTGGTCGTTTTTAACTGGAGATGCCGGGGATTGAACCTGGGACCTCCTGCATGCCAAGCAGAGGCTCTGCCACTGAGCCACGGTCTCAGGTCAAGGTCTTTCTCATCCCCTCCTGCCTGGTCGTTTTTAACTGGAGATGCCGGGGATTGAACCTGGGACCTCCTGCATGCCAAGCAGAGGCTCTGCCACTGAGCCACGGTCTCAGGTCAAGGTCTTTCTCATCCCCTCCTGCCTGGTCGTTTTTAACTGGAGATGCCGGGGATTGAACCTGGGACCTCCTGCATGCCAAGCAGAGGCTCTGCCACTGAGCCACGGTCTCAGGTCAAGGTCTTTCTCATCCCCTCCTGCCTGGTCGTTTTTAACTGGAGATGCCGGGGATTGAACCTGGGACCTCCTGCATGCCAAGCAGAGGCTCTGCCACTGAGCCACGGTCTCAGGTCAAGGTCTTTCTCATCCCCTCCTGCCTGGTCGTTTTTAACTGGAGATGCCGGGGATTGAACCTGGGACCTCCTGCATGCCAAGCAGAGGCTCTGCCACTGAGCCACGGTCTCAGGTCAAGGTCTTTCTCATCCCCTCCTGCCTGGTCGTTTTTAACTGGAGATGCCGGGGATTGAACCTGGGACCTCCTGCATGCCAAGCAGAGGCTCTGCCACTGAGCCACAGCCACTCCACACTGTCACTGGTGTCCCGTCCCATCCAGGGCAATCTGAGGCGACGCACCTCTCATGCCCCCCCCCCGGTACGCCATCCCGCACGTACCTTTGCTACCTGAGGCCAGACCTCCTCCCTCCTGGCTGCCCTGTGAGTCCCCCCCTGCCTTAGAGGTGAAACTCCAAGGCACGCCGAGGGCGCCCCCCGCCCCCATCTCCCAACTCACCGTCCAGGAGGAGGGCGGCCTGCTTGCGGAGCACGGGGACCAGCCGCTCGTCCAGCTCCATCTCCTCCAGCACCCCGATGAGGTGCTCCTCGCTGCGCACCACCTTGTCCTGGGCGTACAGTCCCTCCGGCATGGACCTCTGCTGCCCCAGCCCCAGCAGGGCCACCTCCAGGGCCAGCGTGAAGTACGACTCGCCGGGGCTCGAGGGCACCGGGACGTGCTGGTACAGCGCCTTCTTCGGCTCCGCGGCCGAGTCTGGAGGAGGGGGAGAAAGACACGGGAGGGTCAGACGAGACCCCCCCGAGAGAATACCTGCGGCCTCCTCCATCGTGCACGGCCGGGACGCCCCTCTGTGACCTGCCCCTCCCTGCAAGAGCCTGCCACTCCCTTTGGCCAGCCGACCAGACGGCAGCACCGTGCCACCCTCCCTGCGAGGGTGGCGAAGCAGTGAGCTCGGCTCTTCAGAAGAACCGGAAGAGTCCCCCCTCCCACGCATCCCCTGCCTTCTGTCCCCCAGTACCTGCGAAGAGGGCCAGCCCCTCATCCTCCGTCCGGCAGGCCTCCAGGAAGGTGCGGCAGAGGCAGCCGATGGGGTCCAGGGGGTGTCCCACCCAGCCCTCCAGGTTGGTGATGCTGGTCGTGCCTTTGTGTAGGAGCTCTGGGGGGAGGCAGGAAGGAGAGAGCGGTTAGGGACCAAACGCGGCGTGGTAGCGGTGCCAGCGAGGTCACTGGGTACCTGGTAGGCACTCACCTCTCCCCCTAAAAGTATTGTGGCCCTAGTTAGAATGTTAAATTGTCTGTAAACCGCTCCGAGCCTTCGGGAAGGAGCGGTATATAAATCAAATGTGTATTGTATTGTATTGTAAGGTCCAGGAACTGGCTCCCGGAAGCAATTCTAGCTGCTGGGTAGGGCAGGCAGGTGCCCCCTGCTGCCAGAGAAGGCAGGGATACGGTCAATTGCATTACAAAAGATCACATTACAAAAGACTTATAGAAGAAGAAGGAGAGATTGGATTCATACCCCGCCCTTCACTACCTAAGGGAGCCTCAGAGCGGCTTACAAACTCCTTTCCCTTCCCCTCTCCACCGCAGACACCCTGTGAGGAGGAGGAGGAGGAGGAGGAAGAGGAAGAGGAAGAGGAAGAGGAAGAGGAAGAAGAGGAGATTGGGTTTATACCCCGCCCTTCACTACCCAAAGGTGTCTCAGAGCGGCTTACAAACTGCTTTCCCTTCCCCTCCCCACCACAGACACCCTGTGAAGTAGGTGGGGCTGAGAGAGTAGTGAAGGGCGGGGGTATAAATCCAATCTCTTCTCTCTCTCTCCTTCCAACATGCGGCACTCGGGTCTTGAACTGCCGACCTACCAGCCTTCCGGTCTGCAGCTCAGCGTCTTAACCTCTGAGTCACCGCGGCCTGTCATAGACTTAGCATTAAAACTGGATTTTAACAATATACAGATCTTAATTGACTAAGCGGTCTTGGCATTCATTTGTCAACCGCCTGGCCGTGGGAACCCGTAGCTCCCCCTCCAGTCCGGAGGATCTGAACCTGGGCGCCTACGGGACCCGCCTCCTTCCCCTCCCCCTCCTCCCGCGCCCCTCACCTTTCTTCTGCTGCTTGTAGCTCTCCAGCTGGTGGCGCCGCTGCAAGCGCATGGCGTTGACGACCGCCACGGCCAGGCGCAGGGCCTCGCGGGGGTAGCCGTGGGAGCGCAGGGCGTCCACGCGGGCGCAGGCTGTGGGGAAGGCGTCGCCCAGCCAGAGGGGGTGGCCCTGGGGGTCGAAGCCCAGCTTGTCGCTCCCACTCTTCAGCGAGAGGCCATAGCAGTCGCTGCTCAGGATCTTCTGCAGGTGGCCGTCGCCCCAGCGGAGCTCCGCCGCTTTGATGGCCCGGCCGAAGACCGTCTGCCGGGCGCCTGCTGCCAAGGACACGAACAGATCAGCGCACAGACTGATGCTTCCTCTCAGGGGTCATTTCCTGCGGGAGCGCACAGGAGCGGAGCTCTGGCAGTAAGGAACCCAGGGGGCGGGCACATGCAACAAGCCCTGCCCCCTGCTCCCAGCAGCCCTCAGTCAGATCAAGAAGCAGCCAGGTAAGTTGCAGAGCTCCCCCTGGCCCCCAGTCCAAAACAGTCCAGTGGCACCTTTAAGACCAAGTTTTATTCAGGTACAAGCTCTCCCTCCTCTGCGAGGACAGATCTGCACGTCCCCCCCCCCCAATAGCTAGCAATCCAAAACAGTCCAGTGGAGCCTGAGCGGTGGGTGTTGCCTTCTGACACACTTCCAGTGATGTCAGGGGGTGTGGCATATGCAAATAAGTTACGCTAATGAGTTATGCTAATGAGCTCCTGCGCCTCTTTTTCTACGAAATGACCCCCGCTTCCTCTGCTTTTAAATATTTGAATCTTTGTGGCTCGCAAAATCATAACTGGAAAACACCACGGCTGTTCCCGCCTGGGGATTAAAGATCACCGGGAGAGGCTCTCCGAACTCCCCCTCCAATCACAGCTCGGCTGCTGGTCACATGAGAAGGGGGCCTTTTCAGTGGCAGCCCCGCGATTATGGAAAACTGCCCCCCCAGGGGAGGCCTGCCCCCCCAGCTCACTTTTCCTCTTCAGGAGGCAGCTGAAGACAGATTTAGGCCCGTCTGCAAATATTGGAGGTGTGGCCGCCTCGCTTATTGGGGAGATTGTTTCTATCTTTAAAACACTCTCTGTGTACCTAAGCTTGGTAGATTTCTGCTGCCACCAGGAATTAAAAATTCCCAATCTCTCTATTTTGGCAGAATGACCCAGTGTCTGGGCGCTTCAGAGGACTATGTGGCCCTGAGGAAGGACTGTTCTGATTGCTGGGATAAGTTTAAACAAATAATGATTTATTTATAAAAGAACAAAATAGGGTTTGGGGTATTTTTGAACTGTTGTTGAAGAAAGAAAATATAACTGATAAAATGTGACGTCACACACAGTCTCTCCAAACTTTATTAAAGGAGAAAAGGGTTTTCTTAAACTTAAAATAAAAACATGCTTAAAACATTAGCCCTCTTGCAATATTTTGTTTATTTAACAGTGCCTGATTACTGACACCTCTTGTTCTGCATTAGTGCATCAAGATGTCTGTGCTGTTGCAATCTTGAGTATGCTGTTCAGGTGTGTATCTGTAAATTGCAAACCTACTTTTGATTTATCGACATTCGCCACAGAAATCTCATGCTCAGAGTTCTGGGTCTAGGACCCAGGTTAAAACATGAGTTGGCTGAGCGATTCAGAGAGCCTGGCGAAGCAAGCTATGATGCAGCAGCAGAACTGGAAGCAGGAGATGGCCAATTCCACTGCGGGCCTGATGGAAGCCCTCCGTGGGCCTCATCTGGCCCCCAGAGCCGCATCTTTGACACCCCAGCTCTGATAGGTTATATGCATGTGAGTCCGGGGTGATTGGAACTTTGCCCCCTTGTTTTCTTTTATTCTGTGCTGACTGTGCCTTTGAGAGTCTTGAGCTGTGGTTTTAAATTTCGGGTTTTCGGTTTTTCAAATGTTATCCATGTCGTAAGCCGCCTTGAGCGGAAGAAATAAATGTCCTAAGTAAATAAAGATGAAAACCGAGAAATTATTCTTTCTTCACTTAACAGTCTGAGGAGCTAAAATAACTCCCTTTCGATCCACTTTTGGTGCACTTTGCAGCTGGATTTTACTGTGTGTAATGGCCAAATCCCCTCGCAAAGGCTCGCTGAAGCGGACTAAGAGGGCATTATTCAGCATGTGCAAACGCGCCCTCTAGTGGCCTTGGATTTATCCTCTGGTTACAAGTAACATCTGAGCTGAACAGGACGGCTGTCAGTTCTAGCCCTGCGCTGGTGTGAGCTACCAGCCTTGTCCCCAGCTCACCGTCCACCCAGCGGTTCGAAAGCTTCGGCGAGTAGATAAAATGGGTACCACTCCTTAGAGAGGGTGGGCACACCAACCCCTCCCCCCCGTGGGGGAGGTGTTAGCCGGCGAACGGAAGGTTCGGCTCGCAAGCTCGAAAGCCTAGAAGATCTCTTCGGCATCAAGAAGCCTGTAATGGGCCGTTCCGGCCATGCGGTGGCAGTATGGAGCTGCGACCCGAAGAGTCCTGGAGAGGAAGAGCTGACGTCATCCTGCCAAGCGAAGCCGAGTGGGGAAAATGCCGTCCGGATCACGTCTGAGTTGCAACTGAACAAATCCCCGTCGGCTGCAAAACGTGTGCTATGTAAAGATTATATGTGCTGTCCTCCCTTACCCCTATAAAGCATTGTTAGTCCCTTGTGAAATGAGTAACTGTAAATCGCTCAGAGCCAGCAGCTCAGCAAGGATTGAGCGACCGATACATTGAAAGATTATTTATTTATTTATTATTGGACAGAACTGGTCTTACAAATAACGGTTCTCTGTTTCTATCCTCCCGCAGTGGCCCCTGCTACCTGAAATTCGGCCGCGGCCCAAGGAACGCCAGGGTCGATATCGGCAAACTGGGAAGACCGTGAGACAAGGGAAATCTTGGCAACTGTTCCTTGCTGCACCCACCTCTCTCTCAAAGGCACGGTCAACACACAGTAAAAGGAAACGGGGGATAAAGTTTCAATTGCCCCAGACTCACATGCACGTAACCCATCAGAGCGAGGTGCTCTTTTGGAATCTACCCACCCAAGAGCAGAGGGGAAAGGGTTTCTCCTGGCTGGTTAAAAAGCCCTCCAGTATTTGGAGGTGGCCGACTGATGAAAATAAAATCCCCAATAACCCTCACCCTTCCCCTCCCCCCTGCAAAGGTACCTGCGGTTTATATCCCATTGACAGCCTTCGCCCGGGGTTCCCCAACAGGGTGCCCATGGGTGCCACGGCACCAACACCCTTCCTGGTGCCTGGCTAGAGTTTTCAGAAAGCAGAGAGGCCAGGTGGGGCGTGTTTTTATTTATTTATTT